ACGCAACTTGTAGCCACCCATAAAAATATTTAAATTTTTTGCGTGACCTCAAAATCTTTTCGCGCGTCATGGATTTGCCATCCCTAGCTGTTAAAAGGTTGATAMCAAATCCACTCGCTATACATCACTTGGTGCAGCTCGCGATCATATCAAATCCACCAAGAAAAAATTTACTGTTTATAATAGTGTTATATGTGACTGTGCATGAATTTACGACGAAAAACTAACGTTGTAATTGCCGTGGGTATATAAAAAACGTTAAGACATCCGGATAAACAAACAATTATCCGGACATGTATTTATAATACACGATGCGCAAAAATAACGTTTCACACATAAAGAAAGGTCACGCTGGTTTTGGGGGTTATGACATGCATCGTCATATCTGTGTACCTCCCAGTGTAATTACGCCACTATCATATGATAGGTATACAAGTAGTCAATTACAAAGTAGTTTTGTAATGTTATAGCCGTATTATTATACACAGACACGCGTTTGTATATGTATGTGTGTATGTGCGTGCGTGCGTGTGTAATGTGTATGCAAACGCCCAAATCATTCGATAAGATAATTACATTATAATATTATCATTATATACCGGAAACGGCGGAAACTCCTCCCGCGAGAAACGGACGGACTATAGCGTCTATAGCTATAGCTGTAGTCTGGATCCTGGATGGCACAATCGTATAGTTTTGGAAATAACATTTTAAGCGCGCCGAAATTGGACAACGATGACAGTGTTTCTGTATAAACGTTGCAAATATCACGTGGCGGCGTGTTCACTGTTCGATGCTCAGACAACACGACGCGCGTTCTCTTATTCAGACASAATTTGCATAATATTCACGTCTTTAATCTTGTACAGTTGTACGCGTCGACAGGTCATATAATATACACTTAATATGATAATAATAATTATTATTCACATGTGTGTTTTTATTTGAAAAAAAAGCATCAAGTGTGCACAATATTAGATGTATTTATTTTAATATTCTAAATTTGAATTCATAAAAGCCTCGGTTTTCATTATAATCTGTGCCTGTACCTATAACGCAGTCATGACACAGATGACTTTATTGGTGCCTAAATTTTTTTTCAATAATAATAATATGGAAATGGTTAAATTGAATTTCATTTGAAATAGACTTTTTTTAGTTTATTCATCTGAATAAACGTTTTCAATTAAAATGTTTCTTTTTTTAAAATATCGTGTTTCCTCCGAAAGATTTCTTTTTATTTCCCTCGAAATAACTATATTATCTTAATGTAGTCACGTGGAACTACATATCTCATATTATATAATTCTAATATTATACATATTTTGTTATAGGTAGAGCAGAATATATTATATTATATGATCCGATACACATCATTGAAGGTGATATTTTAATATTTTATATAATATTTATGTTATAAATCACAAATTCTCTCTTTACAGAAAACGGATGTTATTACATTTATAACAAATAAGTTATTAAATTAATATAAGAAAAAAAATGCGAAATAGAAGCACATTCCAAAACTCAAACCAACCTAGCTAATACGTTAAGTTTCACATAATATACCTATTTAATAATGTTAGCATAAAGTTTAATTATAATATGATTTACAATCAACAGATACGTTATAGTTAGAACGATTAGGTATCATCTACAATATGGAATAAATCTAAACTGCAGATGACATCCAATATTTAATATCTACCTCTTATATCATGTTGAAAATTGAACCACAAACAAATCATACGATATTAATAATAAAAGATTTATTCGTAACACGATATATTGTGTGATGTCAAACATAAAATTATCGTCTAATAATATATTTGTATTTATTTCGATAAAATCAATTACGTGTATTATACCTTCGACAACGAAAGGAGTATCGACGGACGACCACAACGGGCTACAGATATGCCACAGACGTACTACAACGTGGAGGTACCTAACAGACTTAAGAAACTTCTACGTAATGTAGTATATGATAGGTATACATATATATACGAACTTTATACTGTTACGACTTTCTAAAGATATTTAGATTTTTTTCTATCAATTCAAATTAATTGCACGTCGTGATTTATGACTGTACGGACCGAACGGCCTATAGGTACTATAATATTATAATATTATGTGACGGGCGCAAAGTCGAAATCTCATTATTTTCAAAATCTCGGGAATCCAATTGTAGGAGTCGAATCCAAAGATCTATCATAATATTATCATTATCTGCAACTGCAATCGGCATGGGTCGACGTATAGGTATACCTATAATACAACTCAACGTTCGTGTATGTCTTCTTAATAGTTATCAATATACTTATATACAATATACTAATATATTAAAATAAGCAGCGTACACTTTTGGGAGCAGGGGAAGGCCGTTATTGAGCGTATAGTTATAGTACCCATATAATCGTATAATCGCATCAACGATCTACCGAGCATGGTTGAAACCGAAACCAACAGTCTATAATAATAATAATAATAATAATAATAATAATAATAATATAAGCCGGCGGATCGCCGTCCGATCGAATATTAATATCTATCGTGTTTTGCACGTTTCACGAGATTCCTCAAACGGAATACACATAATCGTGCATGAATAATGACTGCGGCAGTTAAGAAAATAATTTTATCCGGCAACCAGTGTTTGAATTTTTTTTGAGAAGTGGGAGCGTGCGCAGGATAACCGAGTACCCAACTAAATTTTCAGATATTCTAGCGTATTCATATATTTTTTTTAATTGGGATATATGGAACCGTTTTACATTTAGGTTTTAATTTTTTACAAAATTACAAATAGCTTATAATTTTTTTTGCATAAAACTGTTTAAAATATTGATATCTGATACAGCGATACGCAATAATCATATACATTAATTCAAGTCTATGTGAATGGTAATTATACATTTTACATGAAATAAGATAGTWTCCTAAATGATGAAATTGACATGGACCAATTGAATGAAAAATAAATAATTTTCATTGACATATTCAAAACCATTCCATATGTAGTCCGCACGACCTCAAGTGAATCAATCTGAAGTGCATTAAACCCTTAACATATCTCTTCACTCTTAAAATGTATAACTCTAATACATAAACATTCAATTCAGCCAGCTATGTGTCATAGTGGATTKTTAATGAAATGAAAGAAGTAAGTACTGCAAATGTAGTAATATACTATACATATAGCATATTAATATAATATTATGCTGTCCTTAAAAAYATGAAGACTTAAATTTTTTTTTATGCACTTGAGAAATGAAGTCTGAATAGTTGTTAAAAATGTTTGTTTCAATTATTAAATGTCTTTTGTTAATTCTGTTTTGAAGATAAGGCATATCCAGTAGTGTCCGCTTAGGCTTTACATGTTTTTTTGTTATAGTTACAATTTGAGACTTGGGCACCTGGCCACTTTAGATAAAATTAATATTATCATTTAAACATATAATACATGCTAATAAAATGCTAATGATTATAAATATATATTGAGGTTATAGTTGGAACTTTGAAAATACCAAAGTGCTTATTATAATAAATTATGAAATATTTATTGGTGTGGATAATAGGTTTAATGGTGCTATGGGGATTGTGGAGGGAAAAACTCTTGTGGTCATATTCGGTATTTTCAATTTAGATTTTAGGGTCGTATAAAGATGTACATTTTGTACGAAAATCATCAGAGTACTTCCACTATTTATTTTCAAGCAAAATATAGTCAAGCACTGCTGATAAGTGATAACTGTGTTAGTGTATTATCATTATATAAGTATAATAATGAATACAAATTTATACTTACTTATTATTTTGGCCTTTGTGCAGTAAATTGAAATTCAAACGAGTAGTTTTGAATTAGGTATTAAATAGTATGTTGTATTGTAAGGAATAATAAGGTTATGGTAACCCTTAATACGTCACATTTCAAGTGGATGCAATATTCAGTTAACCATTTATTATATTAAAATAATTTTTATTACATAATTATGAGATGCTTATATAGTACTTTAATATTAATTATCATAATTACCAGATCACCATAACCCCATATATTATATGTTTAACTTATTATATTCATAATCCATTTTAATAATTCAAGAATATTAAAAAAAAAATTCTTCTATTTATAAATGTAAGTAAAAACGGGCGATGTTTTTTTGAAATATAGAAGTTGGTGTCACGTCAGACATACTCCAGGACACTATTTAAAATATTTAAATGTAATTCAAAGTGTTATGTTTTAAAATATACTTTTATTGCTTTTTCAGTATAATATGAACTCTAAGTACCTAAACATTTCAAAAATCAGAATTAAACTTAATTAATTATCAAAGGGAAATTGGTGGCGAATAAGCTATTTATGAATCACTTTGTATGAATAACTCTAATATTTACGGTGCATACGATATTAATAATTAATATGTACTACTCGACGCGGATTTCTAGACACGTTTAGTGGTGTTTAATGTGGTGCTAATGTTCACGGCCGTACGTCAAACAAAACAAAATAAATGCAATATAACATGTGTGTTGGTCGTTCCACAAATTAATCGTTGCAGTAATTATTGGTCACTGTGATAATAAATTATACGCACTAATCAAATGTTTTATACACTTTTCACACCACATCGGCACGACGGCGTTTAACTTCAATTTGTTATGCACCTGTGGTTCGGCAAAAAATTGACTAATAACACTGAATAGGTAGTTCATTGTGTGTGTTTGTGTGTGTTATAATAATATACGAAATGTATATTAACCTGCGTTACAAAATGTCTCGATTATTTATCCGCGAAATAATATCCATTTTATGTAACAATATAATATTTTTTATCCTTTTGTGTCTCACTTATAACAGTACACCAAATTGTAAATATCTAAATATGGTTATTTACGAATTGTTTAATGCTGGCGATTTTCGTCAGGTACTCAGGTGAATAACAGGCTATGGTAGGTACCAAATATACAATTAACCGTACCATGGTTGTTAAATTAATTCTGCTGGAAATAAAACTTAAAAGTATGTTTATATTGTAGTATATATTAGTCTATTAACTTATGCGTAAGATTTAATTTAAAAATCCCTAGCAATAAGATATACTTACTATAAAACTGTAATTGTATATTATTATAAATTTTTAATCATACACTACCTATTCGTAACGATTTTTTTTTAACTTCAATATTTACAATAATAATAATAATCGTTTTGATATTATGATGGATTATTTTACGGGTTGTTTATTGCATGTAAAAAACACTAAATTTATTGCATATACCTAATTGAAAAGTATTTATAATAAATGATTCATATTATTATTAATATAATATGTCATTGTTATTTATCTTTATCTTTACGTTTTTTTTGTTTCTTATTAGTTGGCTAAATAATTAAAATACTTAATATTATAGTTAGCATCTTAAATATTGTAAACATTACAGTGATTAGTTACACCAGAAATGAAAAATTACCAATTATTTAAATGCATTCTGTATAAGTGTATATAGGTATACTTTAAGAGTTATATTATGTTTAATAATTTTTCTTCAGACATCGCAGCATGTATAATTATACGATAATTATATGATGGGGTGCCAAGTCATTTTACTCGTTAATCATTATTATTTATTTTCCACGTTATCGTGACCATCAATTATACACTATTTTGTTATACTTATTTAATCGACATTGTTATGACAGGAATACACACTTTTCCTAAACATATTATATTGAGTTGTAATAATGTATCAATCATAATATAAAAGTCAATGCGTAGACAAGTATATAAAACATTATTGTTTTGATAATAATTAATAGACTAAATATTCATAACACAGTTGTTAGGCACCAAAATGTATTAAATAATTAAGTCGTCAAACACGTTCACACATATGATACGTATAAAAGCATAGGTTGCGTGGGTATCCGTAGCTTTAAAAATTAAAAAAAATTTTTTGAATCGTTTCCACAATCGTCATTATTATTTTTATTTCCGTAACAACATTATAACATTTGAATGGTACACGTGTGGCGTGTCTATCGAATAAACAAAAACTAACTGTACAACTACCTATAGGATAAGTTAGATAGTATAGACACGTCCCAGTCGTAATTATAGCCCACTCACATAAATGCATATACGAAACCGTGAATTCCATTCGAACAAAAATGCACGTCAACTATGGGATTCGTATATTTACAAACGGAATGTGTATCATATGTGACTATGGAAGCTTGCATTTTGTTAGCGATCTATCGATAAAAAATATTCGATATTGTTTTCATTCGGATCTCGTAGGTATAGGTTAGTATTAGTCGTACTTACTATAGTTATACTATGGGTAAAATATTAGGCACTTACATACGTTTGCGCCGGAACCAATTGGCAAATAAGAAAGTCAGCATGTTGAAATACGTAGATAGTTATATTATAATTTAACAAAATTTAGACATTTTCACAAAAATATTATAGTCATATTATAGTTAATACATATTATACCTATATATATATATATATTATTTATATCCTCTTATATGCATTATGTACACTAAAAAAAAAAAAAAATCATAAATAATAAATAATAATAGATACATAAACAAATCGTACACGTAACAAGTGTACCGATGCTGAACATTATCAATAATTACAAGAATTCAACGAACGTGTAATAATATAATATAAATCTATAATCGTAGACGAATAAAACAAATTGCCGATACAATTAAATTTACAATATATTTATGATATAAAAGTTCGATATACGAGATTTCAATAAAATCTAATTAACTATAAGTACCTAAAGAATGTTTTATAATTAACTCGTAGGTCTACTTAATTTCCGGTATCTACCCAAATTTAATCGAGTAAGCTAACAACGGCTGGAAGAGAATGATTTTTATATAGAACTAGGTAAGTACGTACGATATACGATGTGCCGAGTACTTTCATAACATACTATATAGGTACCTAATAATTATTACATTTAAGGATAATATAGATTTATATTCAAACTATAGTCTAAAAATTTAGTTTCAAAGGATTATTTTAAATTTTTACTCGGGGGATGTACTAATTAATGTTATATATTTTGTTTTTGTTTTTTATCCATTTTTGGCTACTAAACTGCTTAAGGTCATTCAGAGTTCTACTGGTTCCAATGGTAAAGTGCCTATAATACGTCATTGCGCGTGAATAATCGTATCATAATATTTTAATCATCAAAGATAATCATTTTTAATTTTTATTTGGATGGAATTGTATACAGACGAGTATTATACGGAAATTATTAAAAGAGTAACTGAAATTTTTAGTTTTTCTGTTTTTGTTGGTTACGGCTGTACTAGTATAGCGGTTCTGTATGGTTTTGGATGGATGGTCAGAATCAACTACCTAATATGCAACACAATCCACTTAAAATGTGTCCACTCACGCCTACTGTGCAATTATATTTTTGAGGGTTACACGACTGTACTTTGTACGTTGCATCTACTTACTTGTACGTCCACCGAGCGGCCGGCAGCTCATAAAGCGCCTCAAACGGTGACACGTAACGCAAGTACTGCGGCTGATGATGATCCTCGCCGCCGTACAGCTGTTGATGGTGATCTACCTGCTGACGCTGTTGCTGTCGGTAGCTCTGCTGCAGGGCGTCAGACAACACGTACCGGTGACCGCCAGCGCTGAGTACCGTCTCCGCGGGTTTAGCGCCCATGTACGCAGATATCTCGGCCAACGTCAGCCGGTCGTCCGAACCGTCGGCGTCCACGTCCACGTCCTTCGTCACCTTGACAGATGGCGACAGCGGTGGCTGCACGGACGTCGTGGCAGACCTCACTGCGTCAGCCGTTCGCTGTTGCTGATGGCCGTGGTGTAGCGCTTTCTCCTTGTCGGCAGACGCMGGCGGTTGACGCTTGTACTTGGCGCTGTACACCTGTTGCATGTTCGATTGGTGCTGCTGCTGCTGTTTCCCGAACCCGTCGCCGTACAGTTCCTGGTGCCTGTTTGCGAAGTGTTCGTCCATGGCCTCGTGTACCAATTGTCTGAGCTTGTCCATCGGGTCGGCCACCACGTCCACTTCGTTGACGGCAGGCGATGGCGTCGGTGCCGTGGGCCGCATGACGCGCACCGGGACGTGGACGATGGCAGTTGGACGCTGTTCATCGGCGTACCCGACGGTGGGGGCGGCGGCCAGAACGACGGGACGCTTGCGCGACCGACCACCGGTGACGGCCGGCAACGGTGGCCCGTAAGCGTAAGCGGCCGATTCGTGGTCAAATTCACGCATGTCGCCGTAGTCGAACGATGATACAGGCAGCGGCGCCGACTCGAAACCATCATCGTAGTCCACGCCACCCGCCGCGTCGATGTAGTTATTGTGCTGAGGGCGCATCATCGGAGCCGGTGAAGGCAATCGTCTGTACCGCGAACCGGTCATCGAAGACATCGTTGGCGGCCCTCCGGACATGGACGGCCTGCGTCGTGGCCTCGGCCCCCGTCTGCCACCCCCTGGTTTCGTCCTAAACTTGGGCCTCTTCATCGGCTGGCCCGGGATCTTGTTGTAAGCCCTGCGCTGCGGATACGACTGGTACGCGAACGCCGCCGGCTGTTGGTAAAACTGTCTGCCTGACCGGTGGCCGTCGACGGCCGCCGCAGCCGTGGTCGACTCGGCGGCGCTCGTTTCGAGGCGCAGGTCACCATCACCGACACCCGCTGCTGGTCCGTCGATTGGACTTACTCGGTTTTCTTCGTCGCTGCTCACCAATGGCTGCAAGTCCCTGTAGTGCATGTCAGTAATAGAGTTATAAAACGCATTATAGTGCACGGTATTTAGTTCGAATATAGTCGGTCTACGTATCATACATATACTCTYACAAATCATGTCGATCCGGATATTACAATAATTTAAATTTTAACTTATATTTTGCGTTCAAATATTAGTCACAATACGCATGCCGTCATGCGTCTGCCTAATCGATAAGTATAAGATATGCGGTTAAAAATATGCGTTATTTGATATCCGGATCGTAGACAGTATTCTCGATTAAATCACGTACAGGGTGATTCACCAAGCATGCTCATCCCCACTTTTACAAGTTATTAATGTTGATAGATTAATATTAATGACTAAAATGTTTAAATTACCATAGCTTCCATATCTTATGAACACAATTAACCCTTAAACTATATTCGTATGAATTTTGATTCTGATAAAATCTTTCAGAAAATTATCCACTGAATGATTGAAATAGAGAGATTCTCATTTGAAAAACAATAGTTTATATGTTTACAGGACACTCTTCTTATGTAGTACAAAAAATCTCAAAGATTAGAATATAGGGTCTTTATAGGTAACTTTAAAAATGCCAAGCACTATATTTTAAATAACTGTATAATTGATAAAAAATAGGTGGTGAGCAAGCATGGTAAATCACCCTGTATATAGGTGCATATTGTTATAAATAGTATTCTTTGTTGTTTTTGAAGTATTTGATTGGGAATTTCAGATACTCAGATTGATAATCATCTTGCAGCTGAGTTTCAACGGAAGAGACTATTTAATATTTACAACTTATTGTAGGTGGATTACATCCCTTTCCCTCCTATGACCATATTAACTTAGAATACCCATATTTTGTAGTTTTGTATTGTGCCCGCCTGAAGCTGAAAAATGAAAGCTCATTATACATAATCCATAATCATAAGTTTCTAGTTTAATACGTTTCTGTACACGAGATAATATAATACTACAAGTACCTATTATTATACTGTGTCACGTATACTGCATGTATATTTGCTATACCATTCACAATCCTCTGCAATAACGGTCACTATTCGTCTACTCACGACAGAGCATAACTTTACGAGACTTATTTTGGTGTCAAATGTCAACTGTATGCAAACATAATGTTATTAAACTTCTTTTACTGAATCATCAACATTTTCACCACTAAAATATCATAATAGGTGGTAGAATTTCATTTTCTGGTTATTTGCCAGTTTTATTATTGAATCATGTCTCGAATTCTTCGTTTACCGAGACTGTAGTTGCTAGTTGAAGACAACAACATAATAGTATACACAAGTGATATAACTTGGTAATTAACTTACCAAAACATAAGTATAGGCATACTTTTTTTATTCCTATGATTCCGGATATTCATCTTTCACGGAATAAATAACAACAATAATGTTAATTCGTATCAAGTTGCTGATAAACCGTTTGAAACGGTTGCTTATACTATTATAATTTATAATACGATTTAATCGATTTATGTATTAAAGCAGCAAACAAGTTTTATAAAAAATCATTAGAGAAGAGAATTTCAAAATATAACGTTTAACGCGAAGACGTGGCTGAAAATTACTGGAATACATGATGCATATTATATTACCTACTATATACCTATAATAATAAGGAGGACGTGCATCTTCCTTTTTGTATGTTCCTATTATCCTCGCAGTGATCGCCTCGGGTACACATCAGTCGCCGGTTACCCCGATACGTGCATATCCGTTAAACAACTGGTTTTTTTTTATACAATCCTGGGCAGACAAATCGTATCGGAATTATTCGTGCGGTATTCTCTATACTTCACGATTTGTATTCATTATTATTATTATTATTATTATTATACCGCCTGAAGGGCTAATAACAACACCATTACGATTAACCCCAATAGTACCTATGGAATGAGTTTTAAATAGTTGATATTATACTACCTATATACCTACTACGATTTTAGTATAATAATTAGGTATTAAATCGAATAATATCAAAACKTAAATCGTGTTAGGGGATGAGTTGTATAGGTGATAATATATTAATATCTATAGAATACTAAATGCACTATAATACCTATATGTATTGTAGGAGTGAACTGGTGAGAGGAGGTGGTTAAATCCCCCGGCATTTAATAATAATAGGGAAAAGTTATCGTTTAAAGCTCCAATCGATTGTATCTATGTACATATGTATATATTGTAACATTTTTAAAAAACTTTTTACAAGTGTACTTTGTATGTAAATACTTATATAGCTATTATAGCGTATTTTACATTGTATGAACTATTATAGGAATATTTAAAGTTATATTAATTATAATATGGACAGCTCCAACTCGATATAATTAGTAATTATATTAATTTTACAATCCTAAAACACTTTAAAGCTATCTTTAGTGCTTACAGGAATACATTAGTTATTATTATTGATCAATTATTTGAGAGGTAGACGGGTAGACCTCCTCTCGTTCAATTTATTAAAGACATTTTAGGCTAAAAAAATTATAATATATACCCCCCTCCTCCCCACAAGAGCTTAATCCAAGTTACACCAACAGCCAACTATAATATTATGTTATCTGTCGAAATGTTGGGGGTAGGTTTTTACTTTATTTTATTTTTTGCCACTAGTGTCAATCGATTAATATTTTAGATTAATAACAGATGTTTGTATATATTTTATTAATTTTTAATAAACTTACGTGCAACGAGCAACAGCCAAGAATGAAAGAAAAATCAGCACCTGAAATCCACAAAATAAATTATAATAATACCATATAAGTACCTACAAAAGTATATTAGTTTTGTATACGCTCAATCGTACTTATTACACATATCACGGTTACCTATATCATTAACTGATTAAGTTGTATTATATATATATATATAATTAATGCAAATTTATAGAATCAAATTGATTCAATCAATCAATATTTGAGTATAGTGTACACCTATGACCTATACGCTAATTAGTCACAGCAATTTTATCAATATGTAACAATGGTGTATTAATGTATTCTATTAATGTTATAGTAAGTATTGCATAAAGATTTTTTAAGTGTTGAAATTTAAAAATAATAACTACATCTTAAATTTAAGGCTTAGGTAAATAGTAGATACATGTAAGAAGTAACAGAGTGCATCGAGATTTTTATACCACTAAATCTACACACTTAATTTGCTCTAAAGGATAAAAATAAAAGTTAGGTATGAGTTCGGAATCTGTACTACGGCTAAAAATCAATTTTGAAAAACTGCATATGGCCAATACCAGTAATCAATTATACATCACACTTAAATAGGCACTTAATAATAAAAATATTTCCAAAATCATCGAATTAAACCAAATCAATTACTGACAAATTATGACTATATGTAAATATGGTAAACAAATTGAACAAAGTTTATATAAATATAATTTTACCATTCAAAAATGTATATAATAATTTTTAGCGTTTCTTTATACTACAAACATAATGCAAATTATTAAAAAATATGTTAAATAAAATGTTCACTTTTTAATATACATAGATCTAGTATATTCAATGTATTGCAAAATGTATGACAAGATATTTATAAACATAAAGTTAGCATTGTTTGATTTCATTTATAAATTATTTTAAATGTCTTATTTATAGTTAATTATTTTGCAAATCTACATCCATATCTTACATAAAACATTTTCATTAATTCCCAATTCTATTATTGCTTTAAAAAAAAACAATAATTATTAAATAAAATTCCTAATAATTATAGGAATTAAAACTAAAATATTACATAATTATAAGTTTTTATATCTTATATTTATTAAAAATTTAGTGGACCAACATTTTGCGGATTACCCCTGCATATATATATATTTATTTTAGAAAACTATAATTGTTTAAAATGAACTATGTAACAATATGATTCATGCTGGTGTAAATATATCAGTTTTGGAAAGTGAAGAACACGTGGGAATATAAACCTTCAAATTTAATTTTAGTGCCTATAAGAAGGATTTCAAATTTTGAATTTATAGATATGTATAAATAATGCATATAACTGTTTGATTTTTTGTAGAAAACATGTTTTTAAAATTACGTTATTTAAAAATTCACTATCTGCAATAAAATTGTATTAAATGTACCAATTATATAAAATTATTATTATCAATATAGTCGTACAATTCATGGCAATTTTTCATATTAAACATAACAATATTTGTAAAWGAAACTAGAAAGCGTGTATTTAATATCATCTCTTAAAAAATTTTTTGGATATGTATTATAAAATTAGTCTGTTAATTGAATGCAATATGAATATAAGAAATTCTAAAGGTTAAAAAAACTATTAAAATTGCATTCTAATTAAATTATAAAGGTGTTTCTATTTATATGATGGTTGGAAATTTAATACATAAATAAAATAAAACTATGGCATACCTAATACATATTATGTAAATAGTAGTTACTTCTTACTTGGTATACGTACTTAGGGTATGTTAAAATGTACTCACCATCTTGCTATCCGTTTTCATGGTCGAAATTCACAAATAAATCCACAGCTGTTGATCGATTTGATTATCTCTTTGATGTGTCTCGAATTGTTTTAGTATATTATATATTATACAATAATAGAATAGCCCTAGATGAACAGTACGCGGCGCATTATCGAAATGTTAATAGTGCGTTAGAACTTTTTTTTAAATACTTAAACTCAATATCGTATTATAGTTTTATAGTATTAATATTATTGTTGTTGAAGTCACATAAATAGTACAAATATGATCAAACATCGACGAAGTACTACCCGAAATCGAACGAGAATCGCATTGTGGAGATGTGCAGTCTGACCGTGTTTGTGCATTGGCATTGAATCTAAGACGCACGATGACCTCTAATTACGATCTTTTATAAGCTTCTAGGAGACCGGTTGCGAGGGAGTCGCTGGAGGGAGTGCAAACATTGCGGTTTGCGTATATTGTATAGGCATGCAAGTATGACATTACAGGTATATATATATAAATAGGTAGGTACCTGCTAACCAGCTATATACCTACTTGCCTATACCTACCTATCTGGCTGGTGGCTATGACACTGGCACGCAGGCTTTCCACAAATCACATGGATCGCACACATTAAATGTATATACGAAATCAATAGCCGCATCCGATGCCGCAAATTTCTCCCATTTCACAATCCACGGAATGCGCATAAATAGGCGTAATACATTATAGTATAGTAATAATTATTATTGGGTTTGATAAATGCATATGCCTGGACGGTTGTGTGGAGACTTTGATTGGTCAAACACTATTTATTGTGTATAGCTACCTACCTATGTATATATCGTTCGTGACCATTTTTGCCTATGGATATAATTATGCGGATATTTGTTTTTGGAATAAATATGACTTTTTATTTGATTGAAAATAGAATAATGATAAGGAAGCGAACGTAAATTTAAAAAAAAATGTAGCCACATTGATAATTATAATATATGTATATACAATGTATATTATACATGGCTGCATCCGAATTGCGTGCGGAAAAAAAGAACTATGTTTGACAACAACCGAATTGCGTGCGCGGTTTTTTCGAGACACAGCCGAATTGCGTGCGTGGTTTCTTCATGACAGAGCTGAATTRCGTGCGTATATTTTATTTAAAGACAACCGGTATCGTAATATCTGTATCTGATATGATAGCTATATTTTAACTTCTATTTACTATTTTTGTAATAAATAAATTTTAGGTTGAATTAATTATCTATAGACAATTTGACATTGCGTATTTGCTCGTGTTGATCTAATTAATTATGTCAAGTAGACAGGAAATTTCCTCTAAATAGGAAGAAACGCCTAAACAAATAGTAAATATAAACGAACTATTAAGTACGAAAAACTCTCCTTTTTATAATGTATTCAATTATCGAGTAGTTTTATCGATGGAAGTATACGCGTATAATAATTGTACGTCACGAATTCATCAAAAAGAAACACGCATATTCTTTATTTTTGTACTGTATTTGTGTACACGTTAAACTAGACCAATTTATAGGGTGCTCAAATTCCCTAATAATCATCACGTGTCAACATTTATCGTCACGATTTTATTAAAGCCAACATATATTATTAATAGATTCTGCTCTCCAAATATGTATAAACACTATAAATATGAATAATCTATACCTTTTATCCTGTTTGTATAATTAATATACAACTATACAAGCTTCAAAAATTTGAATACTTAAAAAATCCAAAAGTGGATGCAATAATAATAAGATAGGTAATGAAGTGAAAAGGACTACGATTAATCGAAAATATTATTTGTCTATCTCGTTGTAAAAATCTGTAGTTTTTAATCCGAATCGTGTTTTAGAAATTAAAGTTCGTTAATTTCGTTAACCAGCCAATTTAAATTATTATTGTTTTGTTTGACATTAATTAAGTTATTTAAAAGCCTGAAAAAAATATTGAATAAATGTATAATAATGTGGGTCACATACTTGCGAAGGTGTGGGAATAAGTTTTATTCCGGATCAAAATAAATTAGTTATAGTTCTTAACTGCTTCACAATAACCAACCAATATTTATTAATCTACATCATAAACTTAATTATTAATGAGAATAAATGTTTTTCGTAAATTAAAAAAAAAAATTGTTAATTGTTAAATAATAATGATATTAATGATAATCTTTATTAAGAAAAAAACTCAATTTACAAATAATATCTTATAAAATAACACTAATAACATTTAATATAATAAGTTAATCTAAAATAATTAAATATTTTAAATATACTACAACAATATCATTTTTAATTATAATGTGCTACAATACCTATTTTTAAAGATAATTTAACGGATATTGTGTAGTTTAATGACATGACGCTTTATTTAAAGATTAGGATATTTGTATATTTTATAGAAAGCTGGAAGTACCAATACAAAAAGTAGAAAATATACGTATGTTATAAATTGATGGTGTAGGTACATTATACAAACAAACAATTATCATTAATCTTAAATCTTAATCCTCTATATATGATATTCAGCACTGACATTAAAATTATAGGTACCACACCTATGTGTCCATAATTATACATTTTTGAATGTATGAAATATTTTTAATATACCAAAGAAAAAATAGTGTATCTATAATCTATATGAATTATGTACACAAAAGAGACGAAAAAACATGATATTGGTAGGCATAATAAAAGAAAGAATTTATTAAATTCTCACTTTTTATGTTTACCTACTGAAGCACGATACGAAAATAAAATGAAAAACTATCCAACACCTGGACGGATACTATCAGTGTCACGGTAACTTATTATCATTTTAACCACGTAAAATAAAATAATATTTTCTACTTAAATATACCGACTATACTCGAGATAACGTGGATTATATTCACATTGACAAACAAAAGTAGTAACTCTTTGTTTATGTTTTCATTTCGTGTAAAATTTCAAAACATAATGTATATTGGTCGTGAAAGCTGATGTATGATAGTTGATATGTTTTATGATAATATACAGTAAAAATTGGATTAAATCAAACGCATGAATATGATCTGAATTTAAAAACAATGTTTTCTACGAAATAATAATAAAAAGAGATCTAAAAGTGCTTTCATTGTAATATGACGTGATGTAGTATAGTATGAATATGTTTTTCAAAGTTATTCTAACATGCCAATTGATAAGTGTTGAATCATATTAAAATTAATCAATTTGCTATACAAAATTTAAAATATTAAATACAACAAAATATATTTTATTTAAAAAATCCCAAAATCAAATATTTTATATTTACATGTCAAGTTCAAAGAATAATTTAAATATATATATAATTTAAATTGTAAGCCTGGTATCCTCTTAATTTCTCCGATTCCTTCAGCATATTATTTTAAGTCTGCATATTATCGGTGACCCATTATGGACATAATACCTCCTACAGTTCTACTCTTCAATTTGTTATGGAGTTTTTATTCTGAGATAAATCATTAAAAACAAACCATATATTCTCATATCCATTTAAATAGATAATGCTATATCCATATTTTATCTCCATTTCTACTACTTAGAAAAAAAAACATTATGAGTTTATGACCATATAGAAGTCAAATGAAAAAACCTACGTTTATTAGATGGATTAAAACTTTTCTATCAAGTGATTTTTTTTTTATTAATCCTCATAAAGTATAAAATAATATTATGATGAAGACTAAAAATTTAYAGAAAAAAAAAATATTATAAACGGTATAATGTTACTGAAAAAATTATTCAGAGCATTATTTTTATCGTGTTATTCTATTTAGAATAATCCTGAACTCAAAAAATATACACTGACGAATTAATTGTATGTTTATAATTTTATTGATATTCAACAGTCATTTAAAACGATTTAATCACATTAAAATATATTATATAGGACTATAGGATTAGGATATATTGAAATTTTGATAGGTTTTGACTCGACCAAATAGTATCCTGACAGTGAAATCTACATTCTACACGGAAATATCGAGCTAGGTGTGGGTGTTTGGTTTTGATTCATAATTATTTTTAGGCAGTGTTCTAATGTTTTGGAAAATTGAATATTAATTATAGTGTTTTAATAAAAATATTATTTATTTTTTGGTTAATATGAATTTCTTGAATCCTTATCATATAAAAGTTTATTTTGTTACCTAGTTAGAAATAATTAAAATATAATTTATAAAGCTATACTAGTTCAAATTTATATTATATTATTTTGTAGAAAATAAATATTTAATGCTTACTATACGTATCGTGGTCGTGTAATATTACCTATCGGCTATCATACCTATAAGTATACCGAATGATCTATTAAACATAARACATTCATTGTTTGAAGTTTAGTTCAACGGAGTTAAGTGGTATAGCACTAATGCGTTATAGCAATATACTGTAAAATGTTGCTTCACTATTATGTTCATCTCAACCTTAAAATTTATTATAGCTATATCCTATATATGACTTAGTTTTTGTAACAAAATTACTAGAAAAGCATTTATTTAATATAAGTTCATTAACTACAAATTGTTAGATACGACAAAAGTTAAATGTTGTAGGTACTATCATATACCCAAATTTTACAAATTTTTCAGTCATTACTCCTTACATCCTCACAAATTTTAATTTTAAGTTTAATTTCCAACATTTTGTCATTTTAAAACTACAAGTCGTCATTTAATTTTTAAATATTTATAATTTAATTTTGTAGAACACTTTTTACATTCATACTTATTGATGYAGGTATACCGATCAACATAAGTATTTGAATGTACTTTGTAAATACGGTGTATTTACAATATGTGTGGCACGTCATAATCTCATAATACACTTTTCCAAAAGTCATAAATAAAACTGTAATTACAGTCACTTTGATAAAACGATTTGATACTACCTACGATTCCGGTACTCCGAATTCCAATACAGTTAATTTATCAGCTATTTATTGAATTACTAAGATTTCACATATTCCTGGAAATAATATTGTAAGATAATAATTTTAAAAAAAAAAAACTGTTACCTGTATAAATATGTGACAATTTTATAAAATAATGTTAAAATTTGGAAAAAGTACTAAATGAAAGGAAAAATAAAAATAAATGTTAATTCTTTGCAATCAGAGTTATTCAAAAAAATAAAAATGTATTTGTATTAGAAAAATTATCTTGCTATTAGAAAATCGTATGCTACAAAATCTGAGCCATACTCTAATGCATAAATTAATGTATATCACAAATGTTATTTTTATAGATCGAAATATTAAAGATAATATTCTCATTGTGTTTTAAWATATGGAATTAAAAATGCATATAGTCATTAAAAAATGTTTAAAAATAATGAAAATTTATTTTTTGTCACGCCTGCGCCGAAAG